TTTGACTCGGAAAATTGATAAATTGCGCGAGAGATGATAAGAGTGTCTGATAATTTGATGTGTTGTTTCGCAGGAAAGTTCTTTTTATTTTAGAAAAAAAAAATCCGCAGCGGTTTTCTGCGCAGGCAACACACCCCTAAGTGAGGAAAATTTTTTCAAAAAGCACATCTGAAGCTTTTTGCCTGCAGAACCTTAAAAAGAAGGGGGAAAAAAAATAATTGGTTTTATGCGTCTGAACATGAAATGGTAGGAGAGACATGAGGGGAGACAAGCTTACAGGAGTATTACAAAAATGTGCTGATTCAAATGATTTGTGGATTGATTTTCTCATTGCCAGCTGAAAATGGGAGACAGTGAGGGGATTGTATTTATTGTAGTCTTTTAGGTCATCCCCCATGATTTTTAATTCTGATTAAGGGAATGTTTGATTGCAAAACGTACTTTGTCAGCTGGCTGGTATTTGTTGTCAATCCCTTGATTGCCAAAGACACACATACCTTCTCCTAGGGAGCCAACATTATGAGTAAAATACAAAATCTTTCTTTCTATGCATAGTGTGTACTATACATGTACATGGGGCATACTGTACATGTTTGTTGATGACTTATTCTGGCTTTCAATCTGGGTCTGCAGTGCTGATCTAGGTGATAAACAGCCATGGACGCCAATGTGAATGAGCCCTTTAAGTTTATGTTCAGCCAAAATGTGTGAGTGGGAAAGGGTTAGCAGACAGGACGTGAGGGTAACTCACCAACAGCACTATAGTCAGAAATAAAAATGCTTTTCCTTAAGAGAGTAGGGGAAGGCCAGAACCGCTGTCCGGTATTTCATTTCTGTCTGTGTCCCTGTTGCAGACTTCCCCTCACTTCCTGCCTAGTAAATTATTGTCAGCAGGTTAGAAAGTGAGGGCGCAATTTTCGAATGGAGTCCCAGATAACAGCCAATTGGCTTGACCTACACTTTAATTCAGAGGCGTCCTGAGGCAGGGTGACACCCGATGCGGGTACTGGGTGACACCCCACAGTGACGTCATCACACATGCGCGATGACGTCACGCACAGTACCGCTGTTACCTGCCGGCTGCCATCTTGGTGATGGACGCCGGCAGAGAGAGGAGGGAATGTCACCCGGCGGGATAAGGTATGCAGGCGGGTCCCCTCCTCAAGCAACTGTTGGGCTCTCGGTCCTTGACCGAGTGCCTGACTTTTCCGAGGGGGGTGACACCAAAATGACTGACAGTCACCCCTCCAATGGTGTCACCCGGGTGCGGGCCGCACCCCTGCATCCCCCTTGTGATGCCACTGCTTTAATTGCTTCTACTGTGAACTTTGAGGATGAATTGATCCACATTGCCTCACTGACCTCTGCAGCTACAGAGGTCAGTGAGTGCTTAACCCAAAACATATTTCCTGCTTGTTAAGAATGTGTAAATATTTGAAAGTCTATATCCTGGCCACACGTGAATGAGCAAGTTTACATGTCTAAGAAACTTTAAAACACTATATAGATTTACTTAAAAAACATGGCATTTTTTCTGATGAACAAGAATCGTCGATAGCTATGCAAATGCATATTAGGCGTCGAGAGCATTTGGCGCTCAATGTTCTGTAGAAAACAAAGGACGCGCTCTCCTAATTCGTGTTGTCATTAGCCTGAAGTATTGATGCCTGTACATTATTTTACACTTGTGTTATACGCCCTGATTTCGCTTGGCCAAATTGTTAATTCGTACCGCACATCATCTCCATCCTCAGAGCTGCCAGAATTTCCTTACATTTGTATTGCATTAAGTCCCATTATAAGAGATTAGGTTGCAAATCCCTTCATAAGGATAAGACAGCGAGTAGGAGCCTGGAAAGGAAAGCTCTTTTTATGCGTACGGCATCAAAGTGATCCCAATGCTCTGAAGACTCAGCCGCTCCTTCAACATTCACTGTCAGTTTTGTACAAAATGTGGGCCTGACAGAAGCCGTAATAGATTCTTCCATTATTTGATTTGTGCTTCGTACAAGAAATATATTCAGCTTTCTTAAGAATATCAGAACTCTCTATGGGTCGGATCTAGAGGATGATTTGCTACCACTAATAGCTATTTTTATATTAGAATAGCCCCAATTCTAACAGTTATAATTCTGGTATCAGAATGCTTCCACTGTGCGAGAAGAACAGCTGTGCAAAATCCCTTTAAATGGGACATTTAAAGGGGTTTTTCTGAGTTAAGATGTTTATGGCTTTCTAGCTTGCGCTTACCACCTTCCAGCATTTTGTAATATGCTTTCGCTTTTCCTGCATTGCTATTTTTGTCATATGAACTGAACTTTATTTTTCCTTCAGGGTAGGGATGAGGGGAGCGATTATAGTGAAAACTGAGTTTGCCACAAAATTACAGATTTTGCAAGCTTTAAAATTTCAGTAAATTGGAAACCCTCTTTTTTTCATTCATTGAGCTGCCTAGCGGACAAAAAAAAAAAAGGAAAAAATATAAATTTGTATTCTTTAGTTATTTATTTGGAGGGGGTGTGTTCATGGGGAGGTATAATTAGGGTCCTTTTTTAATTTAGTTTTCTTTTTTTTATAGGTTTTCTTTTTCCTTCTTTTTTTTTTGTCTTTTGTATTTAATTGTTATATGTGTAATGGCTTATTCTACTTTTTTTTTTGTGTGTGATAAAAATGGAAAATAATAGGTCTAATGAGGAGCTGGGCTTTTTTTTGGTACAAGAACAGGTCTAGGATAGTTAGAAGGACCTGCAAAACCAGCACATTATGCTCTTCCAAAAAAATATTAAAATTGTGTTACAAAGAACAACCACTGATGCGTTTCTGCCTTACTCGGCCTTAGTCATAGTAAAAGTGACACTAAACTCAGGAGTTCAATCGTAAAAATGCATTCAAGAACCCTAACTTCATAACAAAAATGTATTTTATTTGTGTATCACTCGGCTGTAGATCCTCCAATCATCTTTGAATTGGTGCTGACACTGTCCTTCCTTCTGGAGGGGGGCTACTTTTGTTCCCCCATGGTCCCTGTGTGTGGTGTAAAGTAGCCATCACTCCAAGCTCGCTCCCATGATTGACTGCAATCCCAATACAAATTGGTAAACTAAACGTGACATTGTAGTCCCTCACAGGAGCAAGCTATGAGCGGTGGCTACTTTACAACACACACAGGGACCATGGGGAACATGAGGAGTAAGGGAAATGTTGGAGTTCTGTAGTCCAGCAGGAAGCACTGACAGCACTTGTTGGTATTTTATGTGCAGCAGCCCAAACTGTTGTCAGCCTGAACAGTAACCTATGAGCTTACTGGATTTCTGGCAGATTAACAGGTATTTTTACAGGAGCCTACAGTACCTGTTTGCATACCAGTTTTCTAATTAAAATCCTACAGGTGTGTGTGTGCTTCCTGATCTCAGTGTTAAAGTCAGGAGTTACATGTATAAATCAATGATGTCAAAGCAGGGAGTTATAAAGTGAGGCTAGAGAGTATGTGGGTATTGGGTAGGATGGGGTATGCTCCCAGACTTGTAGAAAGGCATCATGGCACACTCACAAACTAGCATGTAAAACAACTTGTCTCACCACTAAGGACAATGACAGAGGTTTGGATACACGTCTTCTGCAAAGGATGTGTAAGCCGCACTGCCGCGCCAAGGCACCTCTTATAGTGCGGTCCTAACTCTAAACTATGAGAGTCTCCATCTTGGAGCACATGGGGCAGAAGATATCAAATTGGGTGCAGGCCTGTCAGGAGGACGCCCCACCTCCTTAAAGGTACAGAAACACACAAGGGATCCCGCACATCCCATTGGCAGCTGAGAAACCCCATGCGTCGCTGCACCAAATCGGTAAAGCAAAACAAACGACAAACGCACTCAACAATTTGTTACCAGTTATACAGTAAGGTGCACACGAAATGGGCTTTGAACAGTAGAACAGTAGAAAGGCATCATGGCACACTCACAAACTAGCATGTAAAACAACTTGTCTCACCACTAAGGACAATGACAGAGGTTTGGATACATGTCTTCTGCAAAGGCTGTGTAAGCCGCGCCAAGGCATCTCTTATAGTGCGGTCCTAACTCTAAACTATGAGAGTCTCCATCTTAGAGCACATGTGGTGAGACAAGTTGTTTTACATGCTAGTTTGTGAGTGTGCCATGATGCCTTTCTACTGTTCTACTGTTCAAAGCCCATTTCGTGTGCACCTTACTGTATAACTGGTAACAAATTGTTGAGTGCGTTTGTCGTTTGTTTTGCTTTACCGATTTGGTGCAGCGACGCATGGGGTTTCTCAGCTGCCAATGGGATGTGCGGGATCCCTTGTGTGTTTCTGTACCTTTAAGGAGGTGGGGCGTCCTCCTGACAGGCCTGCACCCAATTTGATATCTTCTGCCCCATGTGCTCCAAGATGGAGACTCTCATAGTTTAGAGTTAGGACCGCACTATAAGAGATGCCTTGGCGCGGCTTACACAGCCTTTGCAGAAGACATGTATCCAAACCTCTGTCATTGTCCTTAGTGGTGAGACAAGTTGTTTTACATGCTAGTTTGTGAGTGTGCCATGATGCCTTTCTACTGTTCTACTGTTCAAAGCCCATTTCGTGTGCACCTTACTGTATAACTGGTAACAAATTGTTGAGTGCGTTTGTAGTTTGTTTTGCTTATGCTCCCAGACTTGTCCTAGTAAACTAAAAGAATTTGGGAAGCTCACAGCTCCAGAGGTACTGTAATGAACTGGTAAAAAGTATCCTAATAGTAGTTCACATAACAGCATGGGACAAAAATGGATGGGTTCATCTGGCAGATTAAAATAGAAAAATCTGCCTTGTCTTTGCTAAATTCAGATATAGGTTCGCTGATCTGCTCATCTCTAAATGTAAATAAAATACCAATTTGGCTACTTGTAGCTAAATGTTTACATACTGAATATTCAATCTTATTGTCATGTTTAACATTACATTGAACATCCCTTTTCATACTCGGTTCCTCTTCTCTCTGCAGGTACTTTGCGCTAATATATCAGGCGTTGGAAAAATTGGAAGTTTAAAATCAGGAGGATCCATATCCACACTCAAACATATATGGACAGAAAGTAGCAAAGACTTGTCTATAAGTCGACTCCTTTCACAGACTTTTCATGGCAAAGATAACCAAACCTCCTTGGATATGAGATATGACACTCCAGAACCGTACACAGAACAAGAGCTCTGGGAATGGCTGAGGAACTCAACGGACCTGCAAGGACCTCGATCCAGGTCCAAAAGAAGGCCCATTGTGAAGACGGGCAAGTTCAAGAAAATGTTTGGCTGGGGCGATTTCCATTCCAACATCAAAACAGTGAAGCTTAATTTGTTGATAACAGGGAAAATCGTAGATCACGGCAACGGAACCTTCAGCGTTTACTTCCGACACAATTCGACTGGTCAAGGGAATGTATCTGTCAGCTTGGTCCCACCAACCAAAATAGTGGAATTTGACCTGACTCAGCAAACAGTGATAGACGCTAAAGATTCCAAATCCTTCAACTGTCGCATCGAGTATGAGAAGGTTGACAAGGCCACCAAGAACACTCTTTGCAACTATGATCCTTCAAAAACTTGCTATCAGGAACAGACCCAAAGCCATGTGTCCTGGTTATGCTCCAAACCCTTCAAAGTGATCTGTATTTATATTTCATTTTATAGTACAGATTATAAACTAGTACAAAAGGTGTGTCCTGATTATAACTACCACAGTGACACGCCCTATTTCCCTTCTGGTTGATGATAATATGTATGCAAGACTTACCTCTAAGGAATTAATAAAAGTACCGGGCTGGATCCTAAAACCAAGAAAGTCCCATCAATTGCCTGGAATGTGTCTACTCTACAAATGATTTAACTCTAAATAAAATAAAAAAATACTTTTATATTGGAAAATGTATCAGATGCAATTTACTGTCCCCAAATCACTCCATATGCCATGTACTAGATGTAACCCACTGTAGATATAAAGCAAAATGCATATTGTAAGTGGTCGCTTATCGAGATCCTTGTTAAGAGAGATTTCATTGCCCAACCCATAACATTCAGTGACAGGTCTACAAGGAACCAAAAGGATTAGCCATGCTTAAAGCTTTCTTAATACTTCATAGTATGAAGATGTTACTCTGTTGTGCTATGCTCCAGTATGTATGGCTTATACCTATCTCTGGAGATACTGCAAGTGGAAAATAAAAATATCTTAGGAAAGTATACTGAAAAGAAACCTGCTAAAGTGTTTGATAATTGTTGTAAAACGTACAGAGGTCATTATCAAGAACCCAACAAATGTAACCCTGAAAAAGGCACATTATTGGTGGTCAATGATGGGTATTTGAGACCAGTCCCCAAAAAAAGAGCCGTGTAAAATGTACATGCTGGAATGTGTAAACATGAAATACTTAAAGGAATGCTCCAACCAGCTGTAGACTCCAGTGTAGCTATTTTGACTATGGAAGCAAGACTTAAGTCTCTATGGTTTAACAGTCAGAAGTCTCTTCTTCAACAGTCTGTGACTGGTTGTGTTGAACTGTCAAGAAGAGAGTTTTGCCTATTGTACCATGTAGGTGTTTGTTGAAGAATAGCTTCCATCCATTTCCAGAGACAGCTTCACTGGATGTAAAAGAAGTATATTGTTGTGAGGAAACACCCCACATAACCCTTTAATTTCCAAAGATAGGTTAAACAAAGGCTAGGCTATCCAAAACGGATATTTCAGTTTTGATTGCACACTTGAGGGATGGATTAACCACTGTCATGTTTTACCTCATGAGGACTCTTATTGATATCTTCATAATGGATAATTTGTAAAAAATATGTGGCTTAGAGCATGATGAGGCAAAGAGTTGAACCAAGAAACCTAGATGTAGAGATATCACCGTGGGGGTTCTCATGACATAGAAAAATACATAGCATTGAACATGTCACGCCTGCTCAGAACTGAAAAATATGTTTTAAGTGGACTGGCCCTTCAAGTATACTGTCTGAAAAGGAGAGCCTTTTCATGGACACCATGTAAATTGCAAAATGGTGGAAATCTTTATGAAAATCTATTGTATACTTCAATATCCTAGTCTACATTTGTATGAATGGTTTGTATTGTATATAGTTTAACCAGTGTTACTTGAGCAGCTTATTAATATAACTAGTAAATGTTTCTGCTTGTTATTGGTTCAATACAATCAAAGGACTATGACGAGTTCATGTTAATTGACTTAGCTGTAAACTTCATGAAAACAAAACAAAGGACATAATTATGTACAAAGCATTTATTCCGCTAAAGTATTGTTGAAAAAGCTGAACATATACCACATTGAAGTCTGTATGCATTTAGATATTTTATTTCTGGACAAAAAAAAAATTGTATATAAAATAAAAATACATAAAGTTGAGTTTAAATATGTTCATGTGGTCGTTTAGTCGTGTTCTGCAAGTCTTTGGTCAAATTGTGAAAAAGGAAACTGAAAAAAAAAACAGCAAGATACACTGACAGGTCCTCTTTATGGAGATATTAGGGGTCTCTAGGACCCCTAATATCACCTATGGACCCCAAAAGAAGCTGATAAAGCAGAGATCTGCTTTATCAGCTTCTTCTCTCTCCAGATGACTGACAGGTGAATGCGGAAGTGATGTAACACACATCACTTCTGCATTCACAGCCCGGACGGGGATCAGCAAGGAGCGCGAATGAGCACATATAGGCGATCGGCGGGCTATGGACCCGCTGATCGCCTATATGTGAAACACCCGGTACCGGGTGTTCGCATTGGACGGGTCTTTTCTGCCCGTGCGTGCCCGCTAGGGGGCGCCCGCGAGCAGAAAAAAATTGCCGTCTGGAGACGGCAACCCGCAGATGCTGCAGTGCCGTCCGTCCGTTTTTTTACTACGGGCGGACGGCAAGAGGTTAAATGTTTGCAAAAAAATTAGCCAAGAAAATATGAAATATTACCTCTTTAAGTGTTAACTAAGCCCCAAGCTAGGGATGTTCAGATAGCAGTGCCCATACCTGGCATTGAGGAAAAGGGAAATGTCAAGGGACCCC